GCTCCACCAGTGAGAGGGGAGTGAGAGGATGCAAACAGCTCACAAAGATGGCCTGCCCAGCGCTGACTTGTCTGAACACTGCCAGCTTGCACACAGGGAATTCGCCACAATCTAGAAGGTTTTCTGGGAGTCACTGCTGCACAGAGGTGCTGTGTTTTCAAGTGCTGTGTGTGGATGCCTCCGAGAGGGCTGTAGCAAGTGGCTCAGCAACTAGACCTCCTCAGAGGGGCATCAGATTGAGCCTCTAACTCTAACTGGTCAAGGCCAAGCACTGACACAGCTCTGCCTGCAGTGGGCACCTGTCAGCCTGGCCTTCCCCCTCCACCACCTGGGCTGCACGTATCAGAGGAGCCTCTATCCAGGCTGTACCCGGACTCCCTCCCTGGCCCTGGAACTCACAGCCTCTCCCACCCCCTAACCCCCTACCCCAGACCAGTGCCTCCCTTATCATCCTTTTCAGGTAAGAGCCTACAATTTGGCCCAGGCAGAAGAGAAGAGCTGAGTGGCCGTGCTGCAAGGGTAGGTGATGGGAGTCAGGCCTAGAGGACCTTCCAGTCCTGCTGATACCGCTGAGTAAACACCACAGTCATGATGGCCAGCATCAAGTGACTGGCTACGCAGTGTGGTGGTGACTGACACCTGGCCTGTGTCCTGCTCCTGCATAGCCCACTGTGTGACTTTGGGTTTATTGGACCTCCCAGTGCCCTGGGTCTTCTTCCACCAAAGGGAATAGTTGTGGACCTGCCCCATGGGCGGGGCAAGGGCTGAGTGATACCAAGCCTTGGCGCAGAGGGTTTCAACTTCCAGCTCCAGCCTGTCACTGAAGCTCTCTGTCCTCTGTTTTTGTGTTGCATTTGCCCCTCCTCTTGTCGTAGATCTATAAATTTTGTCTTTTCAACTTCTGCCTCAAGGAAATCTCTGGTTTCTTTTTCACAATATCCCCATGTAGTAGACAAATGCCAGGTTCCAGGTGGAGCAGAGACTTCGAGGTGGAAGAATGGGGCTCAGCTGTGGTGGGGGCGAATGGAAAGGTGTCCTTGGAGCACATCCTGTCAGGTGTGTTCTTCCCCAGGACCTGGTCTTTGTTTCTGCTGGGTGGTACCAGGTATTGTTACCCCCCTTTACCAATCAGGACACAAGCTTAGAGTCACAGGTACTCAGGGTCACAGAACTGATACCTGGCTGCTCAGTCTGAAAGCTAAGAAGAAATGCAAATGGTAGCTGGGTGTAGTGGTACATGCCTGAAATCTCAGCATTCTTGGAGGCTGAGGCAGGAGTTCAAACCCAGCCTGGGCAACTGAACAACTTAGCCAGACCTTGTCTCTAAAAACTGAAAAAAAGCTGGGATGTTGCTCAGTGCAAAGGCTCTAAGCTTAATGCCCAGTATAAAGGAAGAAGGAAAGAAAGAAGGAAGGAGAAGACAGAAACAGAGATAGAGAAAATCAGAGAGAAAGATCATATCCCTCTTGGTCTGTTGGAGAAGTGTCCATCCCAGGGTCCCCTTCTTTCTCTCTCCCAGCAGCGTGGGGTGAAAGCAAGGTCCATATCTGAGCAAAGGGAGAAATACAATTGCAGTGTGCATGGCAGGAAGGCCTAGTGCAGGCTGGCCACCAGAATTTACACAGTTCACCATGTATTAGGAATGTGGACAAAACAGAAAGAAACCATTGTAGAATACAAGCATAGTACATGTTGCACTGTGACCGTGGCCCCATGCAGGGATCTCCCCCCACACACACACAACTTCACTCATGAAAATCAAGTGTCTTCTATTTTATTTTGGAAGGAAAATCTTTGGTGGCATTCACACTAACGGTCATGGCTCATCATTTGAGAATCACTGCCCTTTCCTCCTGTGCCAGCTCAGCAGTGTCCAAAATGGGCAGGCACAGCTTGACCATGCCCCTGACTTTCTAACCATGACCTGGCACATGTCTCCCTTTGTGAACCGTAGGTGCAAAGGGCACACTGTCCCAGCTAGACAGGAGCCCATGACTTGCTTTCAGGTCACAGGGCACCAGCTCCTTCCCACTGCCCACCCTAGCTCAGGTTCAAGGGTCAAACTTTGCTTAGGCCAACAAGGCCTTTCCAGAACATGACTGACTCCTGCTCTGGCTTCTTTTCCACAGCCAGCAGTGCGGTCCTGGGGGCACCCCAGATTCACTCTTTGCACAGACACACGCACACACTCACTCACCCACATGTACACACATTCACAGATATACTCAAACACTTGCACATATACATACTCATACACTGTGACACACACACACATTTACACACTCAGCCTCACACTCTCTGTCTCACACTCCCAGTATTTTCTGGCACCAATTCTTATGTCCCAACTGAGTAGCAGCAGTTCAGTTTGTCCCCTTCTTGGTGTCACAGAGACATCACAGCTAACGGGAGACTACTTTTTGGATACCAGCCCGAACGGGGTCCCCAGACCACCCATACTTCTGTCCATCAAGGCTACATATTTGGGATTTCTTTTTTTTTTTTTTTTTTTGTCTTTTTTTTTTTTGTCTTTTTCCTTTTCATCGGTACCAGGGATCGAACTCACGACTGCCTGCTTGCAAGGCAGGCGCTTATGCCGCTGAGCTAAATCCCCAGCCCCTATATTTGGGATTTCTAAAGCCCCTATTCAGGCTTGAGACAACACCTCATAACTCACTGGAAGTGTCACAAATACAATTACAGATTTGTGATACAAGATTGAACTCAGGAGCAACTGAAAGGAAGAGAAACATGGGGTGAGATCTAGGCAGGTAGACGCAGAGCCCTGGTACCCACATCCCAGGAGCTGGGTACTTTTCTGTCCCTGCCCAGCAGTGTATTCCCCAACCAGGAAGTGACCCTGAGCGCCCAGATCAGAGCCCTTACTGAGGTCCCGTTTCATAGGCACAATTGAGAGACCTTCATCTCCAGTCCTGGCCCCACCATGAGGTCAGGCTGTCATCTCTGTGGCCAACCCTCCCTTGGAACCATGGCCTGGAGCCACTTGCTGTCATTGTCTCAAGTCTGGTCAACGGGGCTCCTTAGGTATGACAGACTCGTGTGGCCCTCGGGACATGGGTCAGAAGGATGTTGGAGCTCTGTACTAGGAATCAGGGTGAAGGTCAGCCATGCTTGCCCCACACACTCACTCACATACACTCACACTCACCTACACACTGGCACACTCACAGTGTCCCACACGCCGCTGGAGCAGCGGCAGCTTGAACCCCTGGAGAAGAGGCAGAGTGACCTCTGCCTGGAAGCTGTGTCCTGGGGTCAGTTCATGCTCAGGTTAGCACCCAGAGGGAGGGGAGTAGAGTCTGGGCAGGGCCTCTGAGAGAGCAAGGGCTGTGCACACTCACGCAGAGGAAGACCTCCAGTGAGTAGCCAAGCAACGCAGGTAGTAACAGCACCCAGGCTCTTCCTACTTGGTGATCTAGACCATCACTGCCTCCCTAGGCCTTGATTCACCATCTAAAACATGGGGGGGATAATGATAGAACTCCATGCATTTAATAAAAAAACTGAGCGGGACCTAGTGCACTATTGTTCAGACACGGGGCGTCTGTGTCAGCTGCTAGAGGTTGACAGTAGCGATATTGTTTATTAACAATATTGCATTAACAATTGTAATGTCACAGCAGTATAGTCAAGGACCAGTCACAAGTGACAAAGGTAGAGACTCCAGAGCCTAATGGGAAGTTCCCCTCCTGAGCCTCCCGTGCTCAGGGCCCCCGCCTGGCATGCTCTTGGCAGCTTGGGCCTCACTGCTGGTCCTGCAGACTGGCCTGGTGCTCATAGACTCAGACTCCAGGACAGGGGCAAGGGTGGCAGGGAAACCGTGTCCTAGAAGCCGAGGAGACTGCAGGAGGTGTCAACAGGGAAGCAGGGACAACTCTGGGCAGGGCCAGGAGGGGCTGAAATGGACATTGTAAACAGCCTGTGACAGGCAGCAGAGAGTCCCCTCCCGGTGACTGCTGTGGGGAGGGTGCTGCCCATGAGACCCTCCAGGAGCAGAGCAGAAGCCTTGGCATAGCAGGAGATGCAGGGGTGACATGCTGGTTCCAGCTCAGACCTGCACCAGTGGTCAGTTACTGAAACACTTGTGTGTCATCAGGGCCCAGAGCATTGTTAATCAGAGGAGAGGATCCCACTGCTGGATGATGCCCCTCAGTGCCATGATGTGGAATCCATAGAGAGCAGCCTTGTAGCACAGGGTCTTGAGCGTCTGCACCGGTGTGTGGGCGCTGAAGCCCTGGAGACCCTGGCCAGGCCACCCTTCCTGAGTGTGTTCTGTGGGCTCAGCTCTTGCACCCACCTGAGGGGACCAGGTCCCATGAGGATCAGAGAGCGCCTCAGTTTCTTTGTTTATAAAATGGAGATGATGGAAAAATCATACCGTGAGGTAACTGAGAAGACAGGACCTGTTAATACATGTGCAGTACTGTAACAGCTTCATGTCAGACACAGCTTCGCGTCAAGTACTAGCTATTTTTGCTTTTGCAGGGGAAAAATGTAAATTAACTGATTCTTGTGATTCTTTCCAACAGCCTTCCCCAGAGCTATGTGCTAGGGAGTGAGTTGAAATTCACCCGAATGTTATGGCTTCCACATGACCTCTGTAAGCCAGGGCTGTTCTAAGCACGGGTCCCTGGACACTTGCGTCACTCTCAGCTATAGCCCCACATGCAGAGAATCTCAGGGCAAGTACAGGAACATCCAGCCCTGCCCCATGGATTCTGGGTCTGTACTACCCTCTGAGAAAAGCTGACTTGGTTGATTTGCCCAGTGGACAAATGAGAAATCAGGATTTAAGGAGCCTCAGTTTGGACGTGGGCCAGATGACATGGGTCTCTTGGCATTGAAGCCTGCGTTCTCCCGGGGATGCTTAACTGCCTCTGCCTTGTCTCAGGAGCCTTCCAGTGGCTGCCACCCACTGTGGACCTTCTAGTCTGCACCCACGCCTTCTATTCACTGAGCCACCTCTTTCTCTCTGGTTTCAGCTGTTCCTGGTCCGCCGGGACAGCAGCCGAAAGCGTCTGGTGCTCTGTGTCCACTTCCCGTCTCCGGATGATGGCTCCTCCGAGGTGCTCGAGTACACCATCAGAGAAGAGAAGTCGAGTAAGTGCTCGCCCTGCTCATTCTGGCTCGACCTCTGCGGCAGCACATGTAGTACCTGCTAACCACAGCCTCTCCTCTCCCCACCGCAGGGTTTAAAATTAGAAAGGAGAATGCCGGCGCACCCAGGCCAGTCTTGTTCTGAGCTCAGCTTATCACTCAAAAGCCAGTGTTAATTTCCGCTCCCCCCATCACGACTTGTTGGCTGCACCTCTTCATGGCCAGGGTGAAATTTCTTCTCGTTAGCTCACCACAAGAATGCTGGAGAAAAGGGAAGAAAAGAGGAGGAAATGCTTGGCCCCCTAGGTTCTAGTGTCAGCTTGGCACCCTATCAAACCATGATCTGGGACATGTCACTTAGACACTCTGAGCCTCACTTTTCTGTGAAATGGACGTAATATTCACCACCTCACTTGAATGCAGAGCTTTGTGAGAATCAAATGGGCAGGCACTTTGAAGGCAGAAGTCTGATGTGTGCACAGAGATGCCAGGCCCAGACCTCAGTGGGCAAATGTTTAGGGGTCTCCATCCACAGTGAGACCCTGATAGATAACACTGCCAGCTTGAGCCTCTTCTAATCTGCTGGACTCAGCCACCTGAACCAGCGTTCCCTCATGGACCACTTTTGCATAGGCCAGGGATTAAATCCAAAAAGTGTATCAAAAGAATCCATGGAATATTCCAAGCACTAGCTCATTTCCCCTTAGAAAGGAATACAGGGTATTGTGTGGATCTGACCCTGGATCAGCGGCAGACTGGCGGCAGTGGAGGAAGGGCCAGTGAGTATTCTCTAGCGTTTGTTTCTCAGGGAACATTTGTGCCAATACCAGGAAATGCGCAGATGAATAAGGCAGACTGGCCTTGGCGGTCCAGGATGTTTGGATGGTGAGGGTTGGAGGGTGAGAGATGCAAAGATTTGCTGTGCAGTGTGGCAGGTGTTACTACAAAGGGATCCCTGTGAGGGGGGAACGAGGGTGGAATCCCTGTAGGAAGGATTCCATCTGGGTCCCAAAGGTGTCTGCATTAATCCAATTAAAGGCTAATTTTTTTAGAAAGGGAAAGCTGAAGCAGGTTCCCTTTCCTTCCAGAGCATGGCCTTTTCACAGAGACCCAGGCCCAGGGCATGGGTAAAATACATCTCATTCATTCATGTGTTGGACACATATGGGGTGTCCGTTCTATGCCAACCACCATTCCACTGCTGGTAGAGTACAGTGTAGAGTGACCATCAGATGAGAGTCACCATGGGAAGCAGGGAGTCATGGATGATTAGCCAGCTGCTACAATGAAACTATGGCTTAAACTTTGGTGAAAGCCAGTTTTTGCTCACATCTAAGAGTCATCATCATGCAGGGACCTCAGCAGACAAAGGCTCCTTAGCATACAGCCTCTAGTTTCCCTGGGTTGGAAACTAGGCTACAAGGAGAAAGTATATGGAGGAGGCTTGTGGGTGAGTCTTACCGTCCAAGCCTAGAAGGGGTTTGTTTCCCATGCCCATACTCTATTGTCTGAAAGTCAGCCTTGGACCGCAATTGGCTGCAATGGGTCCTGGGAAATGTAGTCCAACCGTGTACCCAGAAAAAAAGCAGAGAGCCTGATGTAGTGAACCACTAGGCCTCTGCTCACTGAGAAGAGGGAATTGGGAGTGAGGGAATGAGTGAGGTTAGGTAAAAGGCCGTACATTTATATATTCAACTTAAATCATCTCACTGTCTGTGGAGTCCAGGGGGAAAGAAAGTGTGGCATTCTCAATGACTGCAGAAAGGGATGGAGTTGTTTTGGGGTGTCTACTTCTGACTAGGATGAGGTATTCTCCCCAAGTGGCCCTGGGCCTCAGACCCAGCGAGTGCTTGTATTCCCCTGACAGATGACCAGCAGCTAGAGGAGCCAGTGAGTGGAGAGGTGCCAGGCACTCGTTACCTGTACTCCTTTGGGAACCCAAGGGCTAACTGAGCTCTGGAATTTCAGTGCCATCTTTGGGGGAGGCTGATTGTGAGAAGTGCTGGTGTGCTTTAGGAGCCAGAGACAGGAAGGCTGAGCAAGGCTAGGCCACTGGAGGGCTTCCTGGAGGAAGTCCAGGGGAATAAAGCTGGACCTGCAGCCTGTCTATAGTTCTGTTCTTTGTCTCCCCCGATCTGCCCCAGCTCTTCAGGGTCCTCCCTCAGAGGTCTCTCCACCCAAATACAACATACCCCCAGAGGCATCTTAACTGGTTTCAGTGCTTCATTTCCAATTAGGAGCCTGTCCAGAACTGGACAGTAGCTACAGGGGTAATAACAGATTTTATTCACAAGCATTGCATCATGGGAACTCAGTGTAGAACTGGCCAATTCTGAATTCAACATGAACAAGTAGGAATTTATAGCCAAGGAACAGGGTGGGGGTTAGCAGATGGAAAATAACTCAGAGGAAATTGAGGGTAAGGAGAGGTTCTGGCTAAACTGATCTAACAAGATTGTTGCTGAGGGCCAAGGGTGATCAGACCTGGGGAAGGTGGAGGCCAGAAGCTCTGATCAGATATACTGAGCAGACAGCGAGGGGTGTTGTCCCTTGCTGAACTGACCAAGCAGACACTTACTAAAACTGGATTTTACAAGGATATACACAGAGGAGCATGGGAGAAAGGCCAGAAGTTGATCATTTGGTGGAGTGAAGAAGGTTTGTCACACCCAACGGACAAACTAAAGCTTTCAAGGAAGGAAAAAGCTTATTTCCCTAAGGTCTTGTCTTCCTCCCAGGGCCATGTGGTAGGATCTCATTTTCTGTTGTAAAATTTTTAATATACAATGCTCAAACTTGTTGCAAAGATAAGCAGAACCAAACCAGTGTCCAAACTCTTCCAGTCCTGATTCATGTGTGTTCACTGCGAGCACAGCAATGTCCTCTACAAGTTTCCCAGTGTTTTGTTTTGCTCTCCGCTGTCTGACTTGCTGCTCCCCAGGCATGCCTCCCCTTAGTCCATCACCAGGCAAACCCGGGCAATACCCAGAAAGCAGCAGGCGCTTCCTCTCTTTGTCCTGTCAGTTCTCGGCTCCTGCCCCTCTGCTCTTGCTTCGTCCTGTCCTCCTTAGCATCAGGATGCAGCACACACTGGAAGCCACCCAATCTATTCGAATCCCATCTCTGCCCCTTATGACCCGTGTGACCCTGCACAATATCCACTACCTCTCTCAGCTTCAGTGTCCTTGTCTACGAGAGGGGGACACCAAGGGCACCTCCCTCGAGGGGCACTTCGAGGAGTAATATATCCAAAGTGTCTAGGAGCTGAGACCCCATTGCTGCTCGGGTGAGGGGCTGAGGAGGAAGTAAGCAAGGGAAAGGCCCAGGCCTGGAACTGGGCTTGTCTTTGGGTTCCCCAAACAGAGTAGAGGCCAGGGAAGGAGACTGGGGATGTCCCGAAAGCCAGTGGTCAGCCTCCTCTGTGGCCCCAGCTTCGGCTCCAAACAGGAAACGCTTGCTTTGACCATCTGTGCTTGAGCGTCCTGTTTCTTGGGCAGACTTTTTCTGTAAAGCCCTGAGCCAGGCAGCACCGTAAGTATATTTCTCACCCATGTGAGGCACTGAGTTCTTTACGATAACATTTCCTGCAGTGTTGGTGCCCATCTGTCCCTGGGGGGCGGGGGTTGGCCCCCAGAGGAGGTGAGCCACCAGCATTCAGGGAGGAGGCAAGAGGCAGCAATCCATGATGATTCTGAGGGTCCCAGTCAGAGATGGCAGATGCCACTCCCCGTTGTATCTTCCTGGCTAACACAGGTCACATGGCCAGGTGGACTCCGATGGAATGAGAAGTCTAACACCCCTGCATACCTGTGACCAGCTGGAGGGGGAGCGACTCCTCCGAACAAGTAATGCTTTGGGGAGGGGCCCAAAGGACCAAGGGAAGGGGTGCTGGTGTGGAGATGGGGGTACAGGGCAGAAGAGCAGGTGGAAGCTGGGCCAGCTTCTCCAAGAGAGCCCTGCCCTTTGGTGGCTGAAGTAAACCACCTGGCCAGAGGGCACTACATGCTGAAGATCCTTACCTGAAATGCTTGGGACCAGAAGTGACTTTTTTGAATTTTAGAATATTTACATTTACATAATGAGATGTTTGGAGAACTAGGACCCACTTCTAAACGTGAAATTCATTTGTGTTTCATATACACCTTACACACACAGGCTAAAGATGACTTTACGCAATATTTTTAGCTCACCTACAGTTTGACTCTGACCCATCACAGGGGTCAGGTATGGAATTTTTCACACATGGTATCACTCAAAAAGTTTTGCATTTTGGAACACTGTGGATTTCAGATTTCTGGATTAGGGATGCTCACCCTGACCCTCCTTTTCACTGATGTGCCTTGAAGACAGTGGCAGTGTTGCAGCCATGAGATAGCATTTTTCTTTTGGTAACTAAGAAAAAGGGAAATCCAGTCGGCCCTGTCCCTGGAAGGGGAACCATGGGACACCGATGGGTGGCGTGGGCCGCAGGAAGTGAGCTGCTGGCACTCAGGGTCTGAGCCACAGCGCCGCTTCCTCCTCCCAGCTGACTCCCAGCCTTAGAAAGGGTTGTCCATCTGGCGTGGGTGGGATGTGGTCTCCCCCAGAGCAAATCTCCCACTCTCAGGCGTCTGATTTTAGGTCAAGTAGCTTAAGTTTCCTTGTCCACAAAATGGGGACATCTCCAACACAGCTTTGGATGGACTGATAAGCAAGCCAGTCAGTAAGTGCATGCAGGGTCTCGGGCCAGCATTGCCCAGTGGAAGACCATCCACTTCATCTCTTGTTCATGGGAGAAAACTGTCGCCTGCCCATGTGTAGCAAGCATCACTACTGATGAGTAGTTATAATTAGCAACTCAGAGCTCGCACCTCCAAACCCCTCACTTCCTGTGTTGCCTGGCCCCTGGAGAACCCTGAGAAACTCACATATCTCACATTGGTTATCACACAGAGAAGTTCTGGCCAAAATAACCAGTTTGTTTCGGTGTTTGGCTTTCTCCCTTTTCAGCTTCCAAACTTGGA